ATTAAAACCAAGCGCATTCAGCTGAATGGCAAAAAGATATACGAACAAATAAACACTAGTTATTTTTTTAATAGTGTGATCCATACAAAACATTTATATTACTTTATTTAATTTCAACTGTGATGAAGAGAATTTCATTTGCAGTAATTTTGCGCTTTTTGCCTTTGAAACGCACAAACAAAACAAGAGAGCGAGAGAGAAAATAACAGCGATGCAATGAAGAATGTTGTGAAAATATAGACAAGTTTTTTTGTGCTCTCTCTCCTGTTCCCTTTTTCTTTCTCATTAAAACTAAGAGAGATAGATAGAAAAGAACTTTGAATCTCACTCCCAGTGTCGGCATCAGCATGAATCGCATTATTTGATATCAAAAACCCGCTCTGTCACAAATGTTGAATGGGAAATGGAGACAAACTGTAATGCTGATCTAAGTGAAAAGCGATGAAATGGTAGAAAATGTTCTCTCTCTCTCGAATTTTAAATACAGAAAACAAACTTCATTTTATCGCATTTCATGACGAATTAGGTATTTAACAAAAAAAATCCCCTGTAAATGGCATAAGGAGAAAATTAATTGACAAAATTAAATCTACCTATTTTAAGAGAGATAAACTGAAAAGATAGTTGAAATGATGCAAATTAGCTACTGATGACGTATCGTATTTGTGAATGTGTATAAAAACAAATTGAACAAACAGAAAAATTGAAAATATAAACAAAGTGACAAGAGAATAGAAATGTGAGAAAAAGAGTGAACATACATAGATCGCATTTGTTTCCGAAGTGAAGAGACAAACGCAGAGAATCTCAAGCATAGAATAGATCCCATTTGAAGCAAAAATTCACTTACAAATATTATTGAAAAAGATATGATAGAGCAGATAAACTGAACGACAAACGAACGAGATAAAAAGCAACAACAAAAGATGAAAGCATCATTCACTTATATAAAAACACATAAATACCATTCAAATGAATTATTAAACTAGATTTAAGAGTATCGAAAATGTAAATTGCCTTAATATGTTCGTATAAAGACAACAACAACAAAACAAACAAAATAATATGAAATGAAAATAAATTTTAAGATTCCAAAAGAGACAAATGGTGTTCTTTCATTTCCCTTTTGAGTGAATGTGTGATTGTTCTATCCATTTGATTGGCATTGACTCATTTATTGAATTAGCCGGCAAAATGCAGGTGAGTTGCATCTTCTTCACAATGTTTCATGGAAATTCTTCGCTTTGATAATGATGATGACGACGACGATGGGGAATGGCTTCTTAAGACAAGCCGTTGTTGTTTGTCGCTGAGCAGCTCGGAAATGATTGTCATCAAATTTATTGTAAGTAGTGCTCGTCGGTATTCTATATCCACTTAATGTTCTTTGGTAACATTGTTTGTTCAACGATGGCATGAACAAATGCAAACACAATGCCATCATTTCGAAATGTACACTCAAAGCTGTACAGCCGAGTGGAAGAAGAATACACGACATCAAGAGAATGGAGTGACATTTTAGTGACGACTGACTTACATCAACACACAGATACACACAGTACACAAAACACACACACACACAAACACGCATCAATGGAAAATGGTTCATTGGCAATGGTAGTGCCGTGTGGCTGTGCAAACGAAACAACCAAATACAAACATGTCTATTCAATTTATTTAATAATTTTCTTAAGAGAACGCCATAACCTTTCGACATTTCACCCGGAGCTACCATTTTCTTTTATCATTTGTATTTGTTAGCTTGCGTTCCGAGACATTGGAATGACTGTTATTCTTATGCCACCAAAACGATCGATAGTTTTTGATACAACAATAGCTGTTGTGTGTACCTTTTTATTCTTTAAATCAACCGAAAACTAACGTAAATTAGGTCGACAGCATCAAAATAAGCCACTAGGTACTGATGAACTGAGCATACCCCGTATATGCCCATTTTCTCTATCAAACTGTTACGTAGCACGTAAATAACGTAAATGATGTTATCTATGAAATTGCAGACGGTACGTCACCGATTTCGATACGAGAAGCGATGGATTTGCGATGTGTTTACCATTACAATGGATTTATAAAGATATACACGAGATACTTTACCAACATATGAAATCGGATCATATTTATTACCAAACATTTATAACGTCATCAAATGAAAATCCAGTCGAAATCATATATATGGCAAGCACACAATCAACTAGCTATCAAAATGACAACAACAAAGACAACGTGCACAAATGCTTAATATTGAAAATCCGAACGCAGAAAACAGCAGCAGCGAAATTGGGTATAGTTGTGAATTGTGTGTGTGTGTGTAAGTGGCATTCGCATTCCGATTGTGGATAGTGGAACATGTGTGTTTATATTTGCTGATCTGATTGAAGATTGCAATGCACATATACGCGCTGTGTACGTATATCACGGTGCTTAGTGAGGTTATTTTACGGGGACCAGAGGCTCAAGCATCCTGTTGATACCCGAACAAATACGAGGAAAGATTATTATTACTTCATAGTGAAATATAGCCGGTAATTTAGTTGTCTCGGTGCTGAAATATTTATGACCTACACTAACATCACACACACACACACACACACACACACACACACACATCTCTGAAAATGTACGAAGCTCGATCTCAGTTTCTCTGGCACCACTTTGCTCTTCTGCTCTCGAATACTCCTTCCCTCCCTTTCTCTCATTTTGCTCGCTCATTTCACATTGAATGAGTTCGTTCGACTGCCACAATATGGTGGATATTAGGTTGATCATATTTGCACTTCACGGTTGATCAAAGTGCAGTTCGCAATGTTAAATACAATTAAAGATTGGCTGGCAATGTAGTTTGGTCGAGTGGTGGTGGAAAGACAACATACAGTTGTATCCAACTTAATTGTTGATACAATCGCATCTCAACAATCTTCTTGTTGTCGAGCAACGAGCAGTTTTTCACATACAATTCCCATTTCGTAGACGACATCAACCAAATACACACAAAATGATTGACAAAATTATTGAATTATGCATTGAAGATGGAGATTTGCATCTGTCCAACGACTATATGGATGCTCTCGAAATGTGGATATGCTGGAAATATGTTTTGTGATAGTCAAATTAATACGTGGTATGTTTTAAATGATTCAAACAAAAATTCCATTCCATTTTCGTATCGAATAAATTCGAGATTATTTCGATTGCCATTTAGCTATATATCGCATGTTTATTCTTGGTCGTTTCTTTAAATATTATATTTCACTACCGATGGAATTTCAACGATCGAAAATGTAAGGGTCGAAAATAAATGTTGAAAAAAAAGTAGCTGAATGCCATCAAATATTATTGGAGATCGAGATGAAATTGGTAAAATAATCTATCGCTCTCTCTCTCTCTCTCTTACTCTTTGCAACAAAATAATAATAGTTCACAAGCATTTGGCCCGTTTCTGATGGCTGGGGCCAAAATGACAATGGTGAACAAGCGATTTAGCAAACAAATACACAACCGCATATATGAAGCCACATTTAGACAAATATTCAGCAGTTAAACCGCACTTTATATACAGCGTTTGTAAAATACGATGCAATAAATTGGGTTATTAAACCTTATCGATGCCAAGAATATTGAAAATGGTTTTCCATTTTGCATGCAAATGGGCACACACACACACACACACTTATATCCACACACAATAGCAAAACCATATCATAACACTGGCTGATGGTGAGGCACACCAGTAGTAGCTGATAGTGTGTTTTGGTTGTTCGCTGCTATCTCGGCACACTATTGTGTGTACTTAAAATAATTATTATTATCATTGTAAATATGTAAATAAGGCGTCGATGCAGCGAACATGAAAATGAATGCAATTCATGTTCAAATAAGTTGTAACCGAAGCGCACATTCAGTGCGCTCTCGGAACCTCTTTCTCTTTCCTTCTCTCCCATTCTCTCAGTTGCTTGCTCACTTGCTCGCACTATCACTCATACCATTCCGGCTCATAATAAACTAATCGCCGTCTGTTGGAATATTGAAAACAGTGAGTATCCTTTCCTCACCGACAACTCTCCATTCGAAACTCAAAATTGTAATTCAGACATATCCAAATGGGCATTAACCGTTGCAACAAATTAAATTCTAAGTGAAAGATTAATGCCAGGTTTCGGAATATTCAATCAAGTCGCTTGATTTTGCATTCTTTTGCCGGTTGTGAAAATATATGGGTTTTAATTTGTTCGGACACTTGGTCTAGCTTTACCATTTACTCTGTAGGTGTATGCGTGTGTGTCTATCTGAGATACACGTTCAGCCGTTGTTACCATTTACATATTTCATATGCAATCCAAACGATAGCAACTACTCAAAGGTAGATAGATCCATTTCCACCATTGCATACCATCACCAGCAGCAGCAGCAACCATTGCTTCCCCGCCACCACCATCGTAGCACGCATATTCGTAGAAATGGAATAGAATCGAAAATAACATAATATCTTGAAAGGAGCAGCTAAATTTATTAGGGCCAAACTGGCATAAAGCCATTTGATCGTATTCTCGCATGTAAATATGCCGCTCATTCATTCGTGTATATAAATATATCCGGCTTCTCAACTACTTAATGGTCTCACATTATCCCAGATACTCGTATGCCCGGTGTGTGTGTGTGTGTGTGTGTGTAGGCTATATATGTATATTTCGGAGCAAATGTGGTATTGTGCGAGCTCATTCTCTCTCCTTGTACACACTTTAAAAAATGATATTCAATTTACGAAATAAATCACACAAGTGCTCGGCAAAATTTAAATAATAGAGTTCTTCGCTTCGAGTTTGTAGTTTCGATTTAAGAAACTAACCTCCCTCCACCTCCGATTCTCTCTCTTTCCCTCTCTGGGCACACATAATCAACGGAAAATGCTGAAAAATACAAACGGAAAACAGACAAATAAAACGACTATGGAATATGACAATGGAAAATTTGTAATTTATTATGACTACCGCTTTTTGAATACATATACACAGTACACACTCACACGTACATACATACTCATTCGTCGCTCAAATGCCATTCTTCTTGTCGGTTGCTGCGTGTGTTGGCTTGCAAACTGCACCATAAAGACGAGATTTGTACAAGGAAAAATGAATTTATCTCCATTTCGGAATGGTAAGAACGGACGGATGGACGGACGGAGGGAAGCATGATGTGTGAATGTGACGTCTTAATTGAAATAACATTCGGCTTTACAATTTACATCACTATAAATATCTACAACTTTACGGAAACTTGACTTATGTTGCTCAATTTTTTAAAGGAACAAACGGTATTTTATTTCATGGAAATATCGATTTTCGACCCATCCAAATCTACATTTACATCATGATGAGAATTGCAATTCTTTACAATCTAACTGAAGATTATTACACTTTTAATGGGTTTTTCAGTTATGCATTTTCGGTATTGCTTCAGAATTTCCTCAATACGTCAGTCGAGCGCTACAGGGTGTGGCTCCCATAGAACTGGCGCAACTGTTTATTGATTCAAATTATTTGAGGTGGAAATGAAAACCATTGATGAGATCAATCTTACCTGGATCATTCACCAATCACTCATGTAATGCAACTGATAGTGGTTTGGCTCTGTGATGAAAGCAAACGAACGAAATAAATTGCAAATAGAATATACGAAATATTTCAATTATTCATACTTCAATAACATTTTCAACGTTAATGCACGGATCACACAGCATTGCGAAAGCGGCACCAAAATGGGAAAATCATCGAAAAACGGACTACCAAATGATCGTCCAGGATCGTAGTGCATGTGAAATGAGTGGTTGAATATACTGTGAACCGAAATATAAAGGAACATTTTCACAACAATGTGTCCAAAAAATTGAGTACTTGGCATAAATAAAAGTAAATCGTACTTAAATGTTTGATAATAATTGTGTCGATCACAGTAAATTGCTTTTGTAATATTTTGCTTGACATTTGAAAAATTATTAAAATTATCATCAAAATCACCAATGCGATGATCAAGCGATCGATTGATTTTCTTGTTCCGATTCTTCTTATTCTCATTGTGAATTATTCAACGTTCATATGTCTCCAAAATTTAAATCGGTCGAATTAATTGCGTTATCAATTTTATATAAACAATTTATTTGTCATTTCAAAATGTGTCTGAGTCCAACGTATACGAATGTGAATGTAACACCTTGAGTGGCTATTAATATATTGGGTAATTTCGCCATTGACGCGTGACAAGATCCATTGCTGTTGCTATGAAATGAATATATACTCAATCAGACCTCGAGTGGAATAAAACATGTGATAAAGCATTCATTGATGAAGCAAAAAAAACCAAGAAACAAATACAGAGAATAATTAAAGTTCATTTTCTCACTGAAACACTTTCGGAGGAAAGAGAACCAAAGAGAGTAAGTGGATTTTTATTCTCAACGACACATTTATATATTGTCGTTCGAATTCAGCGTATTGTATTTGGTTCGGAAAGGTTTCCCAATCCCGCGGGAATCTATTGAAATCGACATTTAATGCCAATAAAACTCAAGTTGGGTTAAATTACCACATCGGCTTAGCTATTGCCGAATCATTGCAACGAGACGATTTTATACCGATGCTGCCATCTAGAACTACGCGCCCGTCACGTAGTACTTAAAGCATAGCAATGGCAACCCATTAATACTGTCGGAACTGTCAAATGCGTTTTAGATTTTCAAAGGAATTCCGTTCATCAATTGAAGTGATTCGATATATCTATTTGATAGTTTCATTTATTTTTTTTATAAAATCAAAGTGCTGTGAGCAAAAATGTGTGAAAACATATAACCCTAAATTTCTTTTCTCAGAGTAGATGCTACAATATGACTTGTTGCCTTTTTCACACAACCGTGAGCAGTGAGCATCACTGTGAGCAATGGCAATACAAATAAATAACTATTCATTTCGATACGTATTGGTCATCCTTCACTCAAGCGTCACGCATCACTATAGATGATACAGAGAGCGACTGATGCCGAAAGATATAATGAATGCGGACACTGTATTGGTGTTTGTGTATCTCTGTGTGGGGAACAAGGTAAAATCTGTGTAGTTGTTGATGTTTACTAAAATGAAACACGAATCGGATTTTAATGCATTCTATATACTCAATGGCATCCTGCAAGTCGTGGTACAAATCTATCACCGGTCAAATTGTTTGCGTCAGAAAACTTTTCAAACTGAAAATAATTTGTTTATATTTCATAATGCTAGAGTAAAAGTTAAAGTAAAGGCGCATCTTCACTTCAACTAAAAATTAAATTTCATGCGCAGAATTTTCGGCTGAATGTCAATCAATGATATAGAAAAAGTGAATTAAATTAGGAGATATTGACATTTTTTTTAGCCAAGAACACGATACAAAACACTTTGTGAGTTTCAATTTGTTTCATCAATCATGAAGGTTTTTTTTAATTTGACCGTATTTATACCAAGTGCTTGGTAACCATGATGTTTTAATAAACACTTTGACTAAGAGAATGTGACAGTATCCGTGGTGATGAGAACTTCTTCTGCCGAATATCGTGAAATGCAGTCTCGAGTAGCTTGCAGCACAATAATTAGTCTTCGATCTAATGCCTCCAAATGTGGCTCCCATAATATAGGTGCGATTGGATCCTCTGCTAGGGATTCTCTCATGTATTGCGAAAGTGGATTTGGACTGCTGTGAACACTAAAATGCAAAACAAAGCGATATATTATCAAAATCTTTTCTCGCCACATTGTTTGTGTATTATTTACTCTAGTAGTGATTGCAACGTGGATGATCTTATCAAGCAGCATTGCAGCATTGGAGCGAGAATTTTCAACTCATCATGAAAAGCTTTGCCAAAGGCATGTCCATGATCATAGTGCAGTGTAAAGGTGTCATTTCCGAAGACGCTGTTAACAGTAGCCAATTTGATGGAAACATTAAAAATAGATACCGAAAAATGAAAGAAATACTTACTCGAATGTTTGGAAGTTTCGGCGATCCATGTTACCAATCAGAAAATCGAAAATAGACATATCAATCAATTCCAATAATAAACGACCTTCTGTATACATTGCCGATTCTACGACCTGATATTTGAACATTTCCATTAATTGCATCTCATGCAATAGCAAATCTTAAATCCAAATTTCGAATTTACCTTGTCACAGTAGTCGGGATCGGTTTCCCATGCAGCTTTTTCGTCTTTCGAATATGACTGTGCCCATGGATGTAACTTTGACTGAAATGTTACGAAGTTACATGAAATGTTTTGTTTTGTTCATAGTAATTTAATGCATTTACCGTGCGTTCAGAACCTCTCATTTCGGGAAGATATGCCATTAATGAACCCTAAATGAAATTAATACCGTTTTATATTCAAATTTCACTATTCAAAGTGATTTCACAAAAACCTCTATGTATGTTCCATTGCCGCAAATCGGATGATACATATCACAAAATTGCTCGCAATTTCCAGTGAAGCAAAGATTTTCGTCCGGTTTCGGTGATACATAAAAATTACTTTGCAATGATGGATCAGCAAGTCGTAGGATTTCCGTTATCATATTCATATTTCGTCCAATAACGGGCATGGCACGTCGAAAACCCAAAATGCTGACGAAAAAATTTTAAGAAAAAGGGGATAAAAAATGAAAATTAACGTGGATAAACGTGTTGAAAATGGAAACATCTGTATCAAAATTGTTCGAATCAACAAACCGATCAAGATGAAACGCGGCTATTTCGCTGGTATGGCGTTCGTATTCAGGAAAGTACATTTGATTTGGCAATGTTTCTTGCTCGCGTGAAAATCTTATTGGTTTAAATAAGGCAACGACATCATTATCGAAAGTAACCTTCAATTTGAACTGTGCTTCTTTATCAATTTCCTCTGAAAATGAGATTCGTGTCATTTTTTCCAAATATTTTGAATCTTTAGTCAAATTCTTACCAACTCTCCAGACATTTTGTGTTTTCATGTCATATAGTAAATCGTCGACAGTTTGGCGATTATTTGAGTACATTCGATAACGGGTGATTTCTGAGTAGAACTTCATCAGGCTGTTCTGATCAGAATCGCTGTAGAATACAGGTGGATTATTGAAACAAAGAATGATCGTTTTATTGTGTTTTATCTTTAAAAACATACCTATTGTTAATATCCAACAAGTTCAGTATAGTATCCCGTTTTGTATCCGTACTTTCTGACTCATGTGTTGTGATTGCATCTAAAAGATCCGAAAATGCGTCATTTTTGTAAGAAAACGAATCAAATTTTTCGCCATCATGAAGAAAACAAGATCCTTTCAACGCTTCGAATGTTCTAAAATAGAAGTTATTCATAAGAATTGAGCGTAAGAAACTCATAAAATCGAGTCACGCTCACGAAAGAAAGTGTATCAATACCCTAGTGTGATTTGTCTATTTGGATCTTTGATGGAATCACTTGAATGGTTTGGTAATTGGGGTTCAAACATTTCAGATGCTGAAGATTGTGATGATTTTTGAAACTCTTCACTTTTTGATGCAAAGTCTGATTCACTTTCAGTTTCAGTTTGTGAAAGAGACTTCGTCAAATCGTCTATTAATTTACAATAAGATTTAATGAGGATTATCACAAATATCAATGCTAGCACGGATGCTAATGCCAAAGCCGGCCGATTCAATAACTTTCTCATAATGTTATTTTTATTTAAAAAAAATTCAAAAGAAGATGAAACGGAACAAAACGATGTGCTCAAGTATGAATATAATTGAAAAGTGAATGAAAGAATCTTACAAAATGCTGTAAACCTATGAATAAGTTAAAACATCTGTGAAATAATTGACATTACTGTTACTCTGTTTTTTATTGCACTCTTGCAACGACGACAAACTGTTCAAACAACAGATTCATTTCATCGACTATTCTATTTACATTTTCAAAAATTTTACGTGGAATCGAAAGATTTCACACCAAAATTGTCGCGAGAATAAATCACGTCATCAATGGGACTGGTTTTGATGCACTTTCTAAATGTGCTTAAAATTGCATTTACATTTCGGTCTAACGCTTCTAAATGTTCCCATTGAACGCGTGCTAAGCCCATTGTCAAAACTGAAACCAACAAAAATGAAAACAAAATAGGTATTTGGAATTCAAAATAACTTTATTTTATCCAACCAAGTCTTACCATAGACTTGGACTCTAAGTAGCAGAAAGTAACTTTCATAAGCGCTAATTCGCCAATTCCTCTACTTGGACTTTTTTGTTATTATTGAGTAATGGGTTGAGTAATGAGGATGAATAACTCTAAATAAAGGTGGCGCTATCCTTGGTGACGAGAACTTCTTCTGCCGAATATCGTGAAATGCAGTCTCGAGTAGCTTGCAGCACAATAATTAGTCTTCGATCTAATGCCTCCAAATGTGGCTCCCATAATATAGGCGCGATTGGATCCTCTGCTAGGGATTCTCTCATGTATTGCGAAAGTGGATTTGGACTGCTGTGAACACTAAAATGCAAAACAAAGCGATATATTATCAAAATCTTTTCTCGCCACATTGTTCGTGTATTATTTACTCTAGTAGTGATTGCAACGTGGATGATCTTATCAAGCAGCATTGCAGCAATGGAGCGAGAATTTTCAACTCATCATGAAAAGCTTTGCCAAAGGCATGTCCATGATCATAGTGCAGTGTAAAGGTGTCATTTCCGAAGACGCTGTTAACAGTAGCCAATTTGATGGAAACATTAAAAATAGATACCGAAAAATGAAAGAAATACTTACTCGAATGTTTGAAAGTTTTGGCGATCCATGTTACCAATCAGAAAATCGAAAATAGACATATCAATCAATTCCAATAATAAACGACCTTCTGTATACATCGCCGATTCTACGATCTGATATTTGAACATTTCCATTAATTGCATCTCATGCAATAGCAAATCTTAAATCCAAATTTCGAATTTACCTTGTCACAGTAGTCGGGATCGGTTTCCCATGCGGCTTTTTCGTCTTTCGAATATGACTGTGCCCATGGATGTAGTTTTGACTGAAATGTTACCAAGTTACATGAAATGTTTTGTTTTGTTTTGTTCATAGTAATTTAATGCATTTACCGTGCGTTCAGAACCTCTCATTTCGGGAAGATATGCCATTAATGAACCCTAAATGAAATTAATACCGTTTTATATTCAAATTTCACTATTCAAAGTGATTTCATAAAAACCTCTATGTATGTTCCATTGCCGCAAATCGGATGATATCCATCGCAAAATTGTTGGCAATTTCCAGTAAAGCAAAGGTTTTCGTCTGGTTTCGGTGATACAAAGAAAGTCTTTTGCAATGATGGATCAGCAAGTCGTAGGATTTCCGTTATCATATTCATATTTCGTCCAATAACGGGCATGGCACGTCGAAAACCCAAAATGCTGACGAAAAAATTTTAAGAAAAAGGGGATAAAAAATGAAAATTAACGTGGATAAACGTGTTGAAAATGGAAACATCTGTATCAAAATTGTTCGAATCAACAAACCGATCAAGATGAAACGCGGCTATTTCGCTGGTATGGCGTTCGTATTCAGGAAAGTACATTTGATTTGGCAATGTTTCTTGCTCGCGTGAAAATCTTATTGGTTTAAATAAGGCAACGGCATCATTATCGAAAGTAACCTTCAATTTGAACTGTGCTTCTTTATCAATTTCCTCTGAAAATGAGATTCGTGTCATTTTTTCCAAATATTTTGAATCTTTAGTCAAATTCTTACCAACTCTCCAGACATTTTGTGTTTTCATGTCATATAGTAAATCGTCGACAGTTTGGCGATTATTTGAGTACATTCGATAACGGGTGATTTCTGAGTAGAACTTCATCAGGCTGTTTTGATCAGAATCGCTGTAGAATACAGGTGGATTATTGAAACAAAGAATGATCGTTCTATCTTTAAAAACATACCTATTGTTAATATCCAACAAGTTCAATATAGTATCCCGTTTTGTATCCGTACTTTCTGACTCATGTGTTGTGATTGCATCTAGAAGATCCGAAAATGCGTCATTTTTGTAAGAAAACGAATCACATTTTTCGCCATCATGAAGAAAACAAGATCCTTTCAACGCTTCGAATGTTCTAAAATAGAAGTTATTCATAAAAATTGAGCGTAAGAAACCCATAAAATCGACTCAAGCTCACGAAAGAAAGTGTATCAATACCCTAGTGTGATTTGTCTATTTGGATCTTTGATGGAATCACTTGAATGGTTTGGTAATTGGGGTTCAAACATTTCAGATGCTGAAGATTGTGATGATTTTGGAAACTCTTCACTTTTTGATGCAAAGTCTGATTCACTTTCAGTTTCAGTTTGTGAAAGAGACTTCGTCAAATCGTCTATTAATTTACAATAAGATTTAATGAGAACTATCACAAATACCAATGCTAGCACGGATGCTAATGCCAAAGCCGGCCGATTCAATAACTTTCTCATAATGTTATTTTTATAAAAAAAAAATAAACAGAAGATGAAACGGAACAAAATGATGTGCTCAAGTATGAATATAATTGAAAATTGAATGAAAGAATCATACAAAATGCTGTAAACCTATGAATAAGTTAAAACATCTGTGAAATAAATGGATGAAAGAGTATTTTGTTTTTTTTTGACGCGCTCGCGACGACGACAAACTGTTCAAATAACAGATTTATTTCAATGAATAATTTTGTTTATATCTTTAGAAATCTTGCGTGGAATCGAGTGATTTCACTCCAAAATTGTCGCGAGAATAAATCACGTCATCAATGGGACTGGTTTTGATGCACTTTCGAAATGTACTCAAAATTAAATCGACACGTCGATCCAATGCTTCTAAATGTGGTTCCCATAAAACGGGTGCTAGGGCATCAAGTGGATCGGATGCCATTGATTCTCTCATCAGTTGCGATAATGGCTTTGGCCCATTGTGAAAACTGTAACAAATTGACACACAAATTAATTTAGCATTTGGAATTTGAAATGTATTTCTTTTCTTCTTTTGTTTCTTTTTCTGTTTATATCGGATCGATATTATTTAGCCGAACATTTGTAACAACCATAATATTTATATTTACCTTAAAAGTGTTTTGAGTGTAGACGATCGTATGACACAGCACTGCGAAAGCGGCATTAAATTCATTATTTCATCGTAGTAAGAACGACCAAAAGCTCTTCCTATTAATGAACAAATAAAATTAAGTCGTTGATATTTAAATAGAAATCCATAAATTATATTTTCAATTAACGCCTTACCATTGTCATAATTGAGGAAGAATGTGTCTTTGCCAAAAGATCTAAAAGGGAATGAATAGCAAAAGTTTTTTTTCTTTGATTACCTCATGAACATTCGATGCAACACACTTCATATTCGTCCAATTTCGCACTGTACTATACAAAGCATGCACACCGAAAACAGTTCACAGGCTACTATGATACACGTGAACAGTTCTTATACTACAGAGTTTGACTCAGGCGCCAGATATATGCATTGGCATAGAAAGAATATGCGGATAATTTTTGCTTTGTGCACTCTCAGTTTATAACGACACCCAGCTTCATCGTGTATCAGCACACTGAACGTAGTAGTACAGGACGTTTTGTTTACAAAGAAAAAAAATTGTTTATAAACAAACTCTTCCAGAATTGTACAGCACAACGCCTTAACATAGGATACCATTGCTGCCATTTAAGTACAATGCCATTTAAGTACAATCCGCATATTTTTCCTATGCCAATGCATATATCTGGCGCCTGAGCCAAAATCTGTTATACTATAAGAATCTTATAGTGGTCGCTGTTTGAGTCTGTTTGCGCTCCTCTGCTCTTCATGAAATTAGTGTGAATATGCTTTATGTATCATAGAGCGAATTTAGACTAAGCGCATATCGAAAACCGTTCATGTGGATTATTTTTAAAGTAATATTTACTTAAGCACTGCATAGTGGTGCCGATCCTTGTTCCCGGTTAAAAAATCGAAAAGGCTCAAATCCATAAGATCAAGTAATCGTCGTCCCTCTTTATATTCTTCCCACCTTTTAACCTGTTTTTGATGAAGATAAATCAGATGTAAAACGGGGTCAAGTGACAAGTCAAATAAATATAGTTTAATATATCAAACAAACACACCCTATCACAATACTTTGGATCTCGTTCCCAAATGGCTTTCCTTTTCCGGTCATATGATTTTCTCCAAGGGTGCTGATATTCCTGAAAATTATATTGAAGTGTTTTTTTTTATTATTTTGCTATAATTTTTCTTAGGAATAAGTTAAATTCAACTTACCACAACTTCAGCATCAAAGTAAAATGGAAGATATGCGATGAATGCAGTCTAAATGATGAAAATAATAAAAATGATAAAGTCGATCAAAAGATGTGCAATGTGCATTTATGATTACTTCAATCAAGTCCCCGTTAGCGCAAACCGGATGGTGAATACTACAGTATTGTTTGCATGTACCATAAAAACAGTAATTATGCTCTGGTTCGGGTGACATAAAAAAGGTATTTGTTAGATTTCGATTTGCAATTTCGAATATTTCAGATGTCACATTAAGTATTCGACCAATGACGGGCATCGTGCGACGAAATCCCAAGATTCTGTCATACAAAAATGTTAATTATATTCGAATTAATGTTCTGTGGGCAATCAATCACAACACTTAAGTCGTACTTACCGATCCAAATGATAAGCTGCGATTTCAGCCGTGTGTCGTTCAAATTCAGCGTATTGTATTTGGTTCGGAAAGATTTCCCAATCCCGTGGGAACCTATTGAAATCGACAGTTAATGCCAATAAAACTCAAGTTGATGTTTTAATTGGGTTAAATTACCTCATCGGCTTAGCTATTGCAAACATTCCATTGTCGAATATAATTCTGAATTTGATCTGTGTGCCGCCGTTCTTTTCATCTAATTATAAATTTGTACGGAATAGTTAATGGAGTTGTTTAAATGCTGTTGCTTTACCAGTTACCACATTTGCAAACTTACAAACGCGTACAATTTTCCGTGTGGACATATCATGCAAAAGCTCATCAACCAACGTTGAATTCGCGGAATACAGTTCAGTTTGTTTTATTGCCAGATTAAATTTATCCAAAACTGTCAGCTCTTCTCTGTGAAGAGGGAGAAAAAGCAAATGTATTCATAAGTTTTTGTTCCTTGGAAAATCTACTTATTCACAATATCATAATACTTTGAGCCAATGGAGAAAAAATCCGACAACGTTACGACTTTTTCTGATTGCGAATCCGTTTGTGGCGGTTCCTTTGACTCTATATACTCAATGGCATCCTGCAAGTCGTGGTACAAATCTTTCACCGGGCAAATTGTTTGCGTCAGAAAACTTTTCAAACTGAAAATAATTTGTTTAAATTTCGTTGAGATAGTGTTAAGCTAGAGTAAAAGTTGAAATAACACAATTTTACTTGAAACTTAGTTTTCGCTGACATTCAGCAATGTTTGGCTGGAAATTGGTTGCTAGGTCGAATTTCGGTGTCAGTAAATAATCACTAGTGAATCTGATATCGTTATGAATTTTTCCAATGAGAATAATGGTGATTACAACCACAAAAACACTGAACCCAATGAAAATGGAACGTCTCAAACGTACAAACATTTTGTTGGTTACACCGTTGCGTTGTTCGTTACACTGTATTCTACAGACCGTTTTCATTTTTTGCCGAAACCTTCGGGAAAAAAATCGAAACGAATGTATTTTCGATGCATAAAACGCCGTCAATCCGTTTTCGCAATTGCATCGATTTCAAAATGCAGGTCAATCATCTGAACGACATTTCTGTTTTTTTTTCTCTTTCGTTTCTTTTTGCGCATGATATCGCAATATAGCGAATACATTTTTTTCGTTCATTGAATACGTTTTCAAAACGAAAGACCAGAACTCCAATAAAAATAAAAATAAATAATTTCTCAACAAAGTCTCTGACTAGAGATTTCTTATATTTTGGAATTCAATTATACACAATGTTTGCCTATGGTTTGAAAATATTGCAATCACTGCCCGACGATGGATTTTACATTTCTCGCGTGTATGTGTTTGTGTGTTTGTTTGTAGCTCGAACTCATTCGTATATTCGTTTCAAAACTCATCACGTGGATAAAGTACGTCATGAACGGAATGAGTTTCGATGCAGCCTTGTAGCTCGGTTAAAATAATGCCAACACGACGGTCAAGCGCTTTGAGATGTGGCTCCCACAGAACGGGTGCATTTTTGCTGACCGGATCCGATGCCATTGATTCTCGCATCAGTTCGGACAGTGGATTTGGTCCATTGTGAAATCTGAAAAAAACCATAACAAATATCCCGAAATGTGGTATTTGTTAAGACCAAGCACCGTCAGTTTTGAAAAGTATTCCCACCTCAAAAGTATTTTCAATGTGGACGTCCGAATCATGCAGCACTGCACCAGCGGTGCCAAGTTGGCCAACTCATCATAGAAAGCACGTCCAAAACCTCTTCCTGAAACATAAATTCAAGCCAAAATCTCAACCGAACACACCGGAATTTCAAACCGAACACACTGTTTCGTACCGTTATCGTAATGTATTGTGAATGTATTTTCACCGAAAATGCTGGAAATATTAACGAGTCAGAAGAGCACAGATTTTTGAAGTAGACGATTGTTGAAGGGAATTATGAGAGAGTAAATACGTGAAAGTTTCATAGTGATGTCGATCCATGTTGCCGGATAAAAAATCGAAAATCGCCATATCGATCAGATCCAACAAGCGTCGTCCTTTGTTGTACGGTGGTTGAGTCTTTACCTGTTTGTGTAAAATGGTGATTAAGTGTAGCATTTTTATCTTCCTAGAGAATTTGTATACAATGTATAAAAAAGCTCACTTTTTTGCAGTACTTTGGATCGAGTTCCCAAATGGCTTTGCTATATGGATTGTATGCTTTTCGCCACGGATGTTTGATGCGCTACGGAGAGAGACATCATGAAAAATTCACACATTTTGTGGAAATGTAAAATCCCCAATGCCCTTGTCCAACTTACATCGTTTCTTATGCCCAGATAATCGGGGAAATATGCTATGACTGATGCCTGTGAAATCAATTAAAATCTCGTTTAAAATGCAGACGCAATTTTTATCTCGCACTTAAATCTGATGCTTCGTTCTCACCTCTAACATTCCATTTACACCACACACCGGATGGTAAATATCACAGTATCTGCGGCAAGTTCCGTAAAAACATTTGTTACTGTATGGTTGTAACGATGTGAAAAATGTGTTTCTTAATTTCTTTTCGGAGCGGTCGTAAACTTCCGAAGTCATATTCAATATGCGACCAGTGACAGGGAATGCACGCCGAAAGCCCAAAAGTCTGCATTCGTATTGGAAAAATGAAAATTAAGTTTATTCACACAGTAAATAGGGGCGTCCATCGTCCAAACCATGTTCACCTGTCCAAATGAAACGCAGCAATATCGGCTGTATGTCGTTCATAGTCTGCATACAGCATCGAATTTTCAAGCGTTTGCTGCTCCCTCGGGAATCTGGATTTGTGGTGGTGGTGGAGTGTTTCGGGACAAATTGAAAGACAACGTAAAATCATAAATATTTCAATGCGTGCACAATTCTTCAAGATTTACACATAAATAATTGATTTGTGTTTCTCGAACCAAATGAACTGACCTCATCGGTTTGGACACAGCCAACATTCCGTTATCAAAGTGCATTTTCATTTTAATTTGAGTCCCACCCGCTTTTTCCTCTGTGTTACAATCGTCACACCAACACATACATAGACATACAGACACACACGTACAAGGAGACATTTCAATGGTAAATGAAACAAAATGTCGTAATTCAGAAATCAGAGAACTCAACTGTCTTGTCCAACTTACCGACATATGAAATTTTCCGTGTGGCCATTTCCCGAATTAGGGCATCAATTGTTTTGGAATCCTCCGCATACAGTTCATTCTGTTTGATTTTGTAATTGAATTTGTCTAAAATGGTCCAGTTCTCACTGAAAATCCAACAGATTTGCATAATTTTCGTCGAAATAATATAAATTTTCAATTATTAACGGTAGAACGTACTTTGCTTTAACGGATAACAAATACCCTAACGTTGGCGATTCTATTTTAGGCGTTTTCGTACTCGAGTCTTTCATTTCAATGTAATCAATGGCTGCCTGCAGGTCAGTGAAGTGATTTTTTGGCGAATTTAATACATTTCCTACGTCATCATTTGACGAAGATGATCTGGCGTCGATGAACTGTCTAAAATTCCCAATTTTTCTGAAACTAAAATTATTTGAATTCCGAAATTGGAGATGAAAACTTAAATAAACCCATGAATTGATAAAAGTTTTAAACTCTTTCCCTTTAAATGTGTATCCGATTCCAAAATGTATACAATAAAACGGATACATGATGAGATATAACTTACTTAAGTTCAATATTCCGCTTTAAATTAGTAAAGATGCCAGTATCACCGTCATCGATTTGTTCACCTTGGTATTGATAGTTGGTTTGGTTGCTAATTTCATCCGGTTTTGGATCATTCTCTTGGCTATTTTTGGTAGGTTCAATATCATTTTCCGGTAGTTGTAGATACGGAGCTCGTAAATTAAGTCCCGATTCAATGTCGAGTACCAAGAAAAACGTTATTGCGACAAGTGAAGTGCCGAACAAAATAGCAAAACGGTCTCTTGAATGACGCATACTTTTTTCTGCGTTGTTGTTGTTAGTTTACGAGCGACTAATTTGTTGCTCGATTTATATTGAATGAATTCACGCCGTTGGCTACAGACATTTTTGCAAACAGTCATTGAGGGTGTCTGAATGTAGTCAATAAAAGGTGGCTTTGAAGGCACTGCCGTAATCCATGTAAACAGATACTCGCACACACACACACAAGCTTCACAGACATACACAGGTGCAAGTGAATTGATTCTCTGTTTAATTGCACAGATTGCGGATTAATTTGATAATTCAAGCTCATGATTTATTGTTTAATTTGAAGGCAATTCGTATATTTCCAAATGCCAATTTGCTAGCTGCCGACATTATTACGGTGCGAACGTGAAACTAATATAAAATGCAAAACCTGAAAAACGCTTAAAATTACTCAAACCGTTTTTCACACATATTATTATTTGACGAGCTGTTACCAAACCATTCAAATCAATCACGAGCAAATGAAGGAGGGAGAATGAGAGAGAAAGAGAGAGTGAGTGCACAAATATAGAATTATAAATTGTGCTAAATTGAATTTTATCAAGTGAAAATTTGTACTGGATAACGAAGCCGTATATAATGCATGATATCCTATGTAAATGACGTATGAGCTTGTGCTCGTGTATGTCTCTGTTGTGTATGTGAAAATATATTTTATTTCAGAGTCGTCGTCGTAGTCATACTCGCCCGTCGTGCGAAGATTTGATTGCGTTGAAAATAGCTTGAAATCAGTCAGCTCATGCATATTTATTTACTTTGGCATTTGGTACGTGTTACTTGCACCGTGTGCTGTGCCGATTCGGTTAATACACGGCTATCGAGATATGACACATCCGATGTGGCGCGCGTATCCAAGACACACCAAGATATGTTACTCAAAATTGAATACAATACACACAATAAATATATATGCCTCCTCTGAACCATTTAATGGCCACACATTATCTCAAAAACGTGTGCGTTTGCCCACACACGCACAATCGCACATACACATGCTTAAAAAATGGCATTCAATTTACAAATAAATCACAATGTGTGTGCAACTGAATTTAAATATGTAAAACTTTGGTGCTCATCTCTCTCAAGCCCATCTGATCTGTTCGTGCGACCATCTACCCACTCGCTTATTCTGCTCAAACAAAAACCATATTTCCGCACATTAGAAATGTAGTTTTGACTTTGTCATTCCGACTTTTTTTGTTTAGCTGGTACGGGGGCTCAGTTACAAGGCGAAGAGGACCACGTACACAAGATATATAGGGGCGATCATAAAAGGTCGCACTCGAAAATGACAACAAGCTCCCCAATAAAACATATTTAGGAAAAAATATGCCGAAATAACAACGGCAATGGCACACGACACCAAATTCTCTCGCTTTTTGCAATGTTTTTTCCTCTCTCTCTCTCTCTCTCTCTCACTCCCTTCTCGCTCTTTTTTGTTTAGCTAGGAAAACAAATTATATTTTTTGGCTCCCGCCCGAGACAACGATGAATGATGATTCCATGAGCATAGGAGGGAATGTACTAGCGACGCTGTGCACTTTTTTGTGATTACGCTTTCCGTCGAGCAATGCGAGAGAGACACAGAAAAGGAGTATCACAGCCGGAATAAAGGCAATCCAATAATATCAAAAATGAACACAACAAAATATTATCAACATTAAAAAGGCACGTGTGAATGTGACATCTTAATGGATATGAATGGAAATAAATGGAGAAAAATCTATTGTGTGGCTCATTTCACTTCGTCAACACCACTTTTAACGAACAAGCACAACGCAAGCAACCACTCATCCACTCTCAGTAACGACAACAACAACAACACCTACATTGCTTGCGAACAACGAAAACAATTGAAAATTGTTTGACGCATAAAAAGAGCACACAAATGGTTCATACTGCAACATTGCACCCGCTTACCGTAATAGCGAGGAAAAAAGAATTGAAGAGAACACAGTGAAATGGAGAAGGCGAATGAATCTGCAATGACAATGGAACAAATGCACACAAATCGCATAATTCTACTCAGCTTCAATGCGATGAGTTAAATGTACGAATTCCAAAACCTACAACCGCAATTTTCTTTTTCTAGGCTGCCGCCCTTTTGCCGCAGAAATTCGTTTAGTTTTTTTCTGCTTTATCTTTTTTTGATAAATAATCAAGAGAAAGAGCTTGACTCTCGCTCAACTCTATTATTTACGCATATAATGGCTTGCCCATTTTTTACATTCATAAATATTTCTCAAAATATTCAACACCAATCTGAATAATTTAGTCCGGTTTTGTATTCGGCCTACAATCCACCGAGGCCCAAACAGCAGCAGAACCAGCAAGAGCAACGAAGACAACAACAACAACAAAAGCTTGTGAAAAAAGCAAACGGAGCACAGCACTACTTAGATTACTCACAGGGCGTTCGACTAATTTATATATTATCCATTTCTGGGTGCCGTACAAACATATGTAATGCTTTTGTTAGAATGGTGCTGGTCATTGCAAAACGAATGGCATACACATTCGTACACATACACACATCAGAATGGGGAAGCATAGCATTGGTTTTCTCACCGCAACTTTTCACCTTGTTGTTGTTGCTGTTGTTGTTGCTGTTGAGATACAGTCCTATCCTTAGAAAGTGATATACACAAACAACGGCAGCAATCCATTCGAAATGCTCCGAGTGAAAGAAAAGTGCCCAAAAGACACACATATAGAACTTGAGCTCAAACCTTTCTGTACGTAATATTTTCAATATTCTCAACAGCATCCTAGGTCCACGAGCCAGCCTCAAAGTATATACTCCCACACACGGCAACACGGGAAAATCTATTGTCTTACGCATTCATCAAAGCGTCCCATAAATAAGAGAGAGAGAGAGAGAGAGAGAGAGAGAGAGAGAGAGAGAGAGAGAGAAAACGGAAATACGAAAAGAAAAAAAATGCAAACGAAAACATAAAACAATTGAACAATTGTAGGAATTTTTCTGTTCTCTCGGCAAAAATAGACGGCAAGGAGCGTGTTTTGCTTCCGAGTAACGAAAACACCGTCGTCGAAAAATGAATGTGATATGCTTTTCTTCGGCAACAAACACTGCACTGCCCTCACTCACTCATTCAGCCGCATCACATACGGCAACCATGTCGATTACGTGTTACGACGGTTTTTTTTCTACTTTTTCATGTTTCCTTTATTTCGGCATGAAACTGGTTATTTCGATTTCCTTTCGCTCGGCGTGCGGTTTAGGCAAAGGCTTTGTGCTCGAGTCATTCGTGATATTTCCTACGAGAAATAATGCTAAATCGACTTAAGAGATTCAAAGTGTGTCTCAACCGCTCTCTTTCTGTGTGCTATAAGAAATGCGATCACAACCACCACACGTTGAACAAAAAAAACACTTCGAAACTAAATAAATAAGTACTCACAGTAAATAAAACATTACGTAAAAATTGTCGGGCATTACCGCCACAGACGACGAAGAGGATGACGACAGTGTAGTCGATAAAAGCATGCAGAGACAGAGAACCATTGCATGAATTTGCGAGTGGTGCTTCCTTTTTTGGCTCATCACGATGTTTTCTGCCTAGTTGTGAATGTCGATATGATTGTCGTACATTTCGTTTTGCGAGTGAGTAAGAAAGAGAGGCGGAGAGAGAGAGAGAGAGAGAGATGAAGCACCACCGCAGCGTATACATCACAGTCACATCAAGTATCAAGATCGAAATGTGAAAGCATATATGTATAAATGTATATTCGTATCGAACGAAGAAAAACGTCGAAGAAACTGTCAGAATTTTCCGAAGAAAAGCAAAAATGAAACGTGAAACGCTCGCCCAATACTTGGCACAGAACGTGATATGTGTGACCATGGGATCGCAGATTGGTAAATGCTCGATGCATTGAATAGAATAGATAAACTCTGGTGAATTGAATTTCAACCACGGTTTCACTCATTCCAATTAGGCATCGGATGCTACACTTTTGGACTTTCCGTTCGTGCTGCTGACTGCCATTTCGACTAAATGGGATGTCGTGTGTCTTTTCTTTCGCTTCGCTCGTGTATGTGTGCATGTGTGAGTGTATATCTGCGCAACAAAAGCGATATGTGTACATTTGGTATTACGATTTTACATCTACATTCACATCTAGGGGCTTATGTGTCGTACGAATCAGTTTGAATCAATGCGAATCTCACGAGTCATTTCAAAAAATATGCACGAATCTTACAAGTTTATATGAAGATACGCGAGTCCTCCACGAGTCTCTCATATAAATTGGCAAATCACTGAACGAAACTATGAAATGTCAACTAGCAGTTAAACTAGCAAATCACTCAATAATCGACTATTAAATCAGCTTTTTGTCATAAAAAACATTTATTTTGTCACTGCAAGAAAATTAAAATTGAAACAAAATTTTAAAATGCTAAATTATTATACTTCAGGGGTGTTGAAATCCCGAGAAAAAAAAACAGTCTTTGCTTATGGATCGACTTTGGCTCTTATTTACATAGAGAATATAGCTGAAATTGGTGGAATTCATAAACGAAAATCGTGAAGTATTAGTTGAATCTATTTATGGAAATGTTATTCCATCCAAATTTTTGGCAGCGCATCGAATTTTCAGACGGAATTTGTGATCAACTAAAAAATCGTGAATTTGAACACAAAATGGATTTATCACAATTCCCGTATCCATCCAAATGCTTCATTGAAAAAGTTCAATCTGATGAGAATAAAAGTGTCAAAGCATTTTTTTTACACTGAACACATTTATTCATATGATGTATGGCAAATCTTATTATCAATATTGATGTATATACCAACTGATTTGCATTGACTCACGGATTTGCTATAAAAGCCATACACTTACTATGCTATGATTTGTGTATACATTTGTATGAATTCGTTTGAGTCTTCACGAATCTCTGTAAATTGGCGCGAGTCAGTGCGAGTCCCTCTGATTCAACGCAAATCATTTTTAATTTACATGGAAATCATATGAATCTTGCTGACTCGTGACGACAAATAAGCCCCTAGATTCACATGCTCGTTCACATCATCCTCTTGACGGTAGATTGTATGCAATATTATTCTTTATGCATCACAGTTTTTTTTTCAGCATATCAATAGTATAGTCAGAAGGGGGACGAACGAGAGAGATAGAGGGTACCAAGCAAGAGAAAGAGGGACAAGGAACAAGTACAAACTCACAGTTGGCGTGTGAGTTGCGCAAACAGATCATACGGACGCTAGCTTCACTTATTATTAATTCAATGAATTATTTAGAGTTTTCCGACAAGAGCAAATGCATTGGCAATGCCAGCACAAAACAATCAGAGTGAAAAAGAAAATAAGCGAGTCAACGAGCGAAAGTGAGTGAGAAACACAGGAACAGAGAGAGCATAAAAGCAACAAGCACACTCGAAACAATTGCCAAATACATTCATTTTTGTATGCGCTGCCTGGTTAGCTCTCTCTCTCGCTTTCATGCACTCCACTCACTGGACTATTTACTCGATTTTATGAACATATTTTTTCCCTCTCTGTATGAAGTATTCAAGTACTCTGGTCGCTGCCTCTGAATGTCATGTTGACGGTTTTTGTCGATCTCTTTTTTATAGATGTATAAAAATTACATCCATTTTATGCATGGCATGTAAAATTGGTCAAACATTTTACACGGATAACTGACATCAAAGGCCTCTTTTCTTTTCCATAAACCGCGAGAATTTCTTTTTCTGTTTTCTCTCTATTTTAATTTTATTGAGATCATGGAGTGAATGGGCTGGTAATGAAAAACCACATAAACAAATTTCAATTTACAAGAAAAAAAAAATCATCTACATATTTCTGTAACTTTCTTTTTGCCTGCCATGTGTTTTGTTGTGTTGTGAGTGTGTGTGTTTTTTTTTGTCTTCTTCTGTAACATCGGCACTTTTCGAGCGCCCCACTTGAATCAACGTATGACGATAAATGTACATATATGTATGTGTTGTTCGTGTCTGTTCATTTGAATGGCTTAGTAAACCCGTTGATATATATCCAGTAGCAATCGGAGCAATGCCACTTACCGTAATGCATTGCACCGAACTTTGCTTACTTATTACTTGATGGATTTACTTGATTCGCTTCATAGGCGAAAAAACGACCGGGCAAATAGAAAAAAAATGGCAGAATAAAAGAAAATCGCACATAATCCATACATCAAATTGTTTCAATGTAGACGATATCTCTCTCTCGCTCTCCCTTTTTCTTTCTCTGCAACTCGGCAAGCGTTGTCGCTATGTGAAGTGTTGCTTCACTTTTTCTCTCTGTGTGTATGCTATTTTCGACTTCCGTGCAAAGTGAGACTATCGACACGGCAATTCGTACGAATGATGCACGTTTGATGCTACGTATAAAAAACATGAAAATGTTTTGGATAACACCCAATTTTCCATTATCGCTTGAGCGCTCAATCTACGCGTTAGAAGAACCCCTCGATTTGCCGCATGCACACAGCACACGAAAAAAAATATACACCACTATTTACTGGTATAACCGCTGTTTGAAGGAATGTACATTAAACGAGTTGAGGTGAACATAGATATGGGAAGAGAGTGACACACGGAGAGAGTAGAAAAAAACTGTGAGCGAAAAAGAAGAAGAAGGTGGAGGGGAAGGAGATAGAGTAGTGGAAAAATATGAACGAATGCCGCATATAAAGCCGCTTTTTACGTGATTCGTCAACTGTCGAATGCGATTTTTAAATAAAATACACGTTTTTGCATCGAAGTTGCGAATTCAAAATGAATCCCGATACATCTTACTTGGAATCGGGTGCTTACGAGCTTAAAGCGGTTATACGATTCATATGTAGCGTACGTTGAGAAAAAAGGGGTGAGAGGAGATTTTCGCCCGAAAATTCTGGCTCCGGTTCAAATGAATTGTGTCGAAATAATTTAACAAGTTCGGGCGACATAATTTCCTCTCTCGAACGATGAAAAATGCTTTGATCATCAGAATGCGCTGGGTTGCATGAGCACACAGTCCCATACCATTATATATACTTATATTCATGGTGTTCGGTTTTTGTTGGCGTCAAAAAATGAATAATGCATACGACAGCTAGGTGGAATATTTTACATTTTGAACATTGATATTTTGCACTAACGACGATGACGGCGGTAACGACAACGACAATGACAACGACAACGACACCAATCAAACGCAAACAAGTACTTACCAAGTATGCCGCTGTGGTTCACCATTTGACGCTCTCATTCAGAGCGCGCGCACACATCGATTTCGCTTCGTTTGTAAATTGATAAACCTGATATCGAATCTCAACGGTATAGTGCTCCACCGGTGACACACAGGCTAATTGATTGCTAATTTCCCACTTCGATCGCATCGCGATATGATGCTGTATGTCAGCATTTTTACCGAAAGTAGAAGTCAATCGATTGTGATAGATTTAATTAGATTCAGTTTCGCCCAGAAAATAAAATACCAATGCAGCAATTTCAGTGTAAGACATTCTTGAATGTTCATTTTTATTTCCTTTTCAAGGTATACACAAAGATTGGTTTCAACGTATTTTTTTTTTCGTTCATCGTTCGTCACTTAAAGGTCATCATAACTCATATAAACAGGATTCACTTAATTGGCTTAAAACATTTTATGCTAAAATTATCCATGTCTAATATCATTTTTCAACATTGGATTAGTATTTCATCGCCAATAAAATCAAATATATATATTTTTTCATAACAAAAATATCGTAATTTTTTTTCGCAAAGGTCAAATTAAAAAAAAAAAAAAAAACACACTTCAAAATAAAACATTTGTTTTTTTCCTAAAAAAAGCTTATTAAAACGAATCATCAATAGTTTAAACATGCGGTAATAATGATAATAATATAACGGAGTTAGAAATAAATGTAAACCTTATCTCTCGAACTAACATAAATAGAATTTGTTCTTATTTATCTACATCTTAAAAAGTCTTGGTTGCATTGGTTGTTTTTTTGTTCATCTTGTTCTCCCGTTCTACGTTTTTTTTCTATTTTCTAAGTCCATTTTCTCTATCATCTAGCGACGCTAACCATCCTTGAGTGCTTATGAAAACGAGGAATTTAATTACAATAAGTGTTTGTTGTTGCTGTTGTTGTTGCCATTCTACTTGTTTTTCTCCATCATCTCGGTGTTCCTATTCTCTGCTTGTGATTCTCCCCGAGAACTTATCGACTGAATTGGCTGAAGCAATAATACATTTGGAAGCGAGCGATTGAGAGGCAGAGTGAGAAAATCAAGTAAATGGCATGTTTGTGTTTATTTGTTCAAGGCCCTAAGTAAAAACGACATTTTCGTAGGTAATCACAACGTCATCAATGGAATTCTTTGCCACACAATCTCGAACGCCTTTTAAAATGAGGTCGACACGGCGATCAAGCGCTTCCAAATGAGGTTCCCACAAAACCGGCGCTGAAAACAGACAATGTTTCGGTACAGTTTTGTTTTGGATTTTCTAGTTGGATTTTGTCGAAAATTAACATGGTAAACACGTTCGCATCTTACCTATCGGATCTTTTGCTAACGATTCGCGCATCACAACTGACAATGGTTTTGGGCCGGCTTGAAATCTACACAAATTGAAATGACAATTTTATTAAATGAAACGAAAACCAAATATAGTACAATAGAAATTTAAATTGAAAACGTGCGGAAAAAGGCGAAAAAGAACCAACACCATCCGGTTCATTAAAATTATTTGTTCTTAATAAATACTTACTCTAAAAGCCGTTCAAGCGTTGTCGCTCTTATCATGCAGCACTGTAACGACACAAAAAAGAAGAAGGCGAAAAAAATAACGTAAAATATAAACTCGTTGAAAGCTTCTCTTTATTTACATGAAGAGATGCGTACCTGTAATAGCGGCGCTAAAATGGAGAGCTCATCGTGGAATGGTTTGCCAAAACCGCGTCCATGGTCACAGTGCAGCGTAAATGTATTGTTACCGAAGATTCTATGCGCCATTCAAGAAACGGCAGAAGAGAATGAATCGAAAATTTTAATTATCAATACACTTGAACAGTCTGACGTTAAACGTTGATATTTTTAGTGTTTTTTTTTCGGTTACGGGCTCGAAAGAGTTTGTGTTTGGCTATGCGGTAGAAAAAAGCGGCTTCAAGATGTAGGTATATATATACTAATACTTACTTGAACGTTTCGTAATGGTGGCGATCCATGTTGCCCGTCAAAAAGTCAAAAACAGCCATATCCATTAAATCGATTAATCGACGACCCTCGCTATACGGGTGAATATCTTTCACCTATACAAACAAAGTAAATGGTAAATCATTTTTCTTGCAGCATTTTCACAGTCACTTATTTGCCCGTTCTCACTCTACGCATCGACTTTTTTCCCTCTTTATTTATTTTATGTTTTAAGAAGCGAGAGAGCGAGTGAGATCCTTTCGGAGATTTTTTTTCTTCTGTTTCGTCGCTGTGCGAAGTGTTCGCGTGGCAGCGCGGTAAATAAAATTCAATTCGCTCTTATCAAATTCGATTAAATACGTAATTCTGCTTCATTACACTCAAAATTGTTTGTTTTTCAATTGAATAGAAAATAATAGTATGAATGGCAGAAGCAGCAGCAGCATCAGCAACAGCAGTAGGAGCATGTGAACGCAGCCGATGCCAAAAAGGAAGGAAAGGATGCGGATACGTTATGCTGTCGGTATGTGCTTGAATTTAGTGAGATCAAGTGTATTGCACATACAGAGAGAGTGTGAGTGAAAACATTGGCACATAGACACACACACACACACACACACACATACAGGCGACTATCATCGTTCAACATCAAATGGAAATAAAATCAAGCACTTAAATAAATAAAATGAAGAAAATGCCGGGATGAAATTCGAAAGAAAAAAAAGCCAACAAATGCCGGATCGACCGAGAGATGAAAGAAAGGCACGAAGCCACTACAATACTATATTTCAACATGTTCAAAAATTGAGTCGGAATCGTGCCATAAAAATAAAATTGAACTCAATAATTGATCTAGATGTGCAAGCGGACAAGGGCAAAAGAGAGACATTTAAAACCAATTCTTATGATTATTTCCGCATTTTCGTCTTGTCTCACTCGCACTACGTCTTGTATAGAGGAAAAAAACGATTGGTTGACGAGAGCGAAGCCAAACGTAATTTCGAAAGGCCGAGACAGAGAGCGATAAAGAAACAGATCGGCGAAGGGAGAAGAGTTGATGGACAGCATTTACACTATTATTCCATGGCATTTTGAACTGTTCAGGATCTGAGTTATTTTCGTCAATCGAGTGAAAATGACGAAAAGGTGAGTTAAACGTATCAAAATAAGATGATTTCTTACCATACTACAATAATCTTGGTCGGTTTCCCATGATGCTTTTCTTCGTTTGTGATATGATCTTCGCCACGGATGACGCCAAGCCTTAACAATCCACCAGCAACAGTAGCATCAGCATCGGCAGCAGCAGCAACAACAACAAAGCGTAAATCCCATTCATTTTCCAAAGAAACGAGATTATTCGAAATGGAACGCAGCCGAAAAAAGCGGTACGATTTTCGTCCAATAGAGCAATAGATAGAACGAGGAGATGGAAAAAGGGAGAGAGAGAGAGAGAGAGAGAGAGAGAAAAAAAAAGACATGAGAATTCATATATAAGAATCAAAAGATGAAAAATAGCAAAGAGCACGGATACTATGGAAGTATCGAAACCGAAGTGCAGCAACGCAATAGAGAGACGAGGGCGACAGAGAGGGTGGTGTATACATTTTCACTGTATGTGTGAATGTGTTCAAATTAAATCGATTTGTAACAGTTGATAAGAATCTCTCAAATCCCATTAACTGTAAGTGGGAGTTCGATTAAGCCCAGCTTTCCTAATGCCGTTTCATCCGACGCCGACGACGTAGCCACCGTTTTTGTTTGTATATCTACTTTGATTTTCAATCCACTCATCTCTTTTCTTCTGTACACACACCGTTCGTTCGTTCTCCGTTTATATTCCTCAACTTCTCACTTTTCCATGCAATTTATTCGCTGTTACCGGTACAATCTCATCGAAATAAATTCGCCGAGATTTCTATCGCTTACTTTTTTTTTCTTTTTCATTCATTCATTCCACTTACCTTTCGTGTTGACCTATCAAATTTGGGAAGATATGCCGCAAACGAACCCTATATCAGTTCCAAAATAATGAACAAAGAGAGAAAAGGAAGACATTTAGTACAATCATCATATTGAGATTACATACGTAATAAGTAACGGGGTTGGATGATAATGATGACGATGATTTTTTTTCCTTTGAAAATGTTTAAATATCCAGGGAAAACGTGTTTGTTCAGCATACACAAAAAATGAAGATGAAACCCTTACGCAACAGGACGATGAATTGAGAGATAAATGAATAACTCGCATTCAAAATGCGCGCACGTGAAAATTATTCCGGAAAAAAATTGCACGATTGTGATTTTTATAAGAAAATAATCGAATGAAATAGCAATTGAAATGGGAAAACTTTTCCACTTGTTCGTTTCCATAAGAGTTGCTATTTTGCATTCATCTTTCACCGTCGAATATGTTCGAATGGTTGAACAAGCCAGAGAGAGAGAGAGAGAGAGAGAGAGAGAGAGAGAAAGGGAGGGAGGCCACGTGATTTAGCTCCCTCAAAAAATAACGAGCGCGACTAAAGCGCAAAATTTTACCTCAAGCATATCGGGATTGCCGCAAATGGCGTGAGATGTATCACAGTAGTACGAGCATTTCCCATGAAAGCATAAATTATTTGATGGCGATACGAAGAATGTTTTCAGTAGATCTTCGTCGGCAACTCGATAAATTTCGGTAGTAATGTTCAATGTTCTGCCGGTAACTGGCATCGCCCTTCGGAAACCTAAAATTCTGTTCGAGTCAGAAAGAAAGGTAAAAATAATTATATATTGAAATGTTTGGTGCACAATGATAATAAAATAATGAGACAGTTATGTATTTTTATCAGTGATCCAAATGAACAATTATGAAAAACGGAAATTGTGTGGCCGCTACTCGAAGACTATGATGGCGGTGGCGGCGACGGTGTTGCCAAAGCACTGCGAAAAAACACGAAGGTACTTTGCCGAGCCAAGCACAAAAATTGTATGCATTGTTTCATTGAACATTTCATTTCTGGCGGATCGAATGATTTTTTCTTCTCTTCTTCTCAATTTTGTTGCTCTTCCTCGCCATGCTAACTTTTTCAATGTTTAACGTGCGCTCGCAAAGTTTCCATCGGTTTTTCGTAGAAAAAGAGAGAGAGAGATGTTCGATATCGTAATAAAAACAGAAGACCTTACCTATCTAAATGGAATGCAGCAATCTCAGCTGTGTGTCGTTCAAAGTCAGTGAAATAAAAATGATTTGGTAACGTTTGTTGTTCACGTGGAAACCTGTATATGCAGTGAGAGAGGAATAGAAATTGTTACAGAGAGAGAGAGAGAGTAAGAGTGGAGATAGAGAGAACTCAAGAATGAATATTGAGGTTGAGAATAAGACAATGAGAACTTTGTTTGGACTGTCTGAACGAGAAACGATAAGTAAAATAATAGTCAAGAGTCAACAATGATAAACGATTAAACAATATTTAATTACGAAAACCATTTAAAGTTCAGGGCAATATCAATGTTTTTTTAAACGTCGTCCTCGCACACACACAAACTGGGTTGGTGAGTGTGTACTGTGTATGCCACGGCTGACGAAATGAAATTGCGTATACAAAAGCAGTGCAGAAAAAACTACCTCATTGGTTTGAAGAGGGCTTCAAAATTGTTGCCATAATCAATTATTAGTTTCAGTTGAGTGCCGCCTTCTTTTTGCTCTGTAAACATAGATAAAGAGAGAAATGAAAAGAAACAATGTAGGAAGAAAAGGACGCTTAAATTTTGGATTTCTTGGTTACTGAGTGTTTTTTTTTCACTTCGTGAAATAAAATATCGCATCGTCTTTAGCACTTTGCATGATTTTTTTTCTTTTCTCTATCGTACTTCTTCGAGGGACGGGACGGAACAGATCGGTTTGTGTTGTTTTAAATTATTTGTTGCTGCTGTTGCTGCTGTCGCGTTGCCTATACGTAATCTCTAGGCCCACGAAATGATCTCTAACCAAAGAATGTTCGTGCACACGCGTCAGATTACTGTTAAAACATATAAAGATTAAAACTTTTATAAGATATGATGTGCCTAAAGTCTTAAGGCAAAAAACGAATGTGAACGCGTTTGAAGTTCGCGACGAACAATTTTTCCTTATCCATCCCGCGCATTCGTTCGTTCGTTTATTCGTTTGCTCTAGGTTCGGTCACTGCTCAAATGCAGCAACACTTTTGTGTGTCTTCGAAACAAATATTCGAATCGGTGTTCGGCGTGTCTTGTTCGTTCACTCGCTCGCTCGTCTCCTTCGTTTCCACTTTTAATTACACGGAACAATAGAACCCAGCTTTTAATCTTGTTTATAAAATAATTCGTAATAATATAGTGGAAATATTTTTACTCGGCTAAAGTTATCGCTAAATAAATTTCGGGGAGAAATGTTCATGTTTAATCGTATTTTGTTGATGTGAAATTTTGTTTGCACACAAGTATTAAAACATCAGCAGCAGCAGCAGCAGTAACGGCAACAACACCAACCAGACAATTCGATGTCGTCTGCTCATCTATGCATCGTATTCCAACCGACATATGGGTATCGAGCTCATTGCCCGACGTCTGTCGATCTCTCGAGCCGTGCATTCAAATTGTGTATGTGATACAACAGAAGTATCGATGGATGTGTGTATAAATAAAATGCCGTGATTTTGCGCATCCAAAAAGTTATATTTAGTTTGGTGGTTCACATTACAGCTCAGGGAACAAGATGATGACTATGACAGCGACGACGGCATCGAAAATACGAAGAAGAGCGAGGAAAATCGTTCAAGTATAGTTGTAGGTTTGAAAGCTACTTACCAGCATGTTGAACCTGATTCGTTGCCATATCGTGTAATAATTTATCGACTAAAGTTGAGTTCTCTGGATACAGTTCATTCTGTCTAATTTCCAGGTGAAATTTATCTAAGTTCGTTGAATTTTCACTGTGCACACGCAAAACAAGCAGACAAGTGGAAAGTGTTAACAAATGAAGAAAAGAAAAGAAAATGAAGAAACGTGGTCGTTATAAAACCATTTAAAAGAGGATGTGCATATAAGTAGTATCGAGTGCAATGTGATGCAGAGAGGGAGTTAATCACAAAAGTGCATGTACATTTTTTTCTCTCTCTTATAAAAACTCCGATTAAAACTACTTCAATTCAATATGAAATTGCTTTATAATTTGATTCTTACTTTATATGCATGTTGAGGAGTTCGCCAAGCGTTGGAAATGTTTCCGATTCGCTGGATGCTTGCTTTGAGGTTTTCTCATCATTGGTTTTCAGCTTTCGAATGGCTTCTTTTAGGTCTTCGAATTTATCTTTTGGCTTAAAAGTCGTCCGTGCTGTTGTAACCGTATGCTGTTCGCCACTCTGTTCCACTGACAATACGGTTTGCACCCTGGGCATTATCAAATTTCTGCAAATGATGAAATCCGAACGGAACATACACATTAAAACCCGTTAAGGTATCAGATTTTAAGCTGTGAACTTCACAGCTACACATATACGACAAAAGTCGAAATGTTATGTATGGAAAAGATAGAAAGAGAGAGAGAGAGAGAGAGAGAGAGAGAGAGAGTTTTCGAGTGAAAGTAAGCGGATGAAAATCGATGTTACCCTAATTGAAATTTTTCTTTGAATGCTGAAAATACACCGTTTCGATCCGAATCATTTGGTGCAACGAGTTTTGCATGCATCGGCGGCGGCAACATTAAATGACCCTTTGACATATTCATATCCATTTGCAAGTCGGCTATAAGCAGAATGGTAATCAACACCAGTGATACGCCCAGGCCAACGGCCAAACGCTCTTTTAACTTCATTGATCTCATCAGACCCATTTTTGCTCCTCCCTGTCAGTCCAGATTTAATATTTGTGGTCGAATTATTTCAACAGATGCAATCACAATTGCTTTCTAATTAAATCGAAAACGCGACCGTTTCACTACTACTCGGTTGAGTTTGTGCCGGTTCGTTTGATGCACGGCCAAAGCTGTTTTTGGTTATAAAGTAGCCTGAAATTGAAATCGGAACAAAGATAAAATTAATGCAATTGCCTGGAATTCGAATAGAGTTGTATGTTTGGTATTTTGCATCTCATTTGGAATTTGAGCTCTTTGATGATGACATTCGTACCAATCAAAGGCGTTCCAATATTTGGAATCAGCAATAGTGGAATCTTTTTTTTTCATATCTAGCCTATGCGTGTGTTTGTGTCCTGTGTGTAATGTTTCTGTTTGATCAAAAATGAGCTAAATTTGATTGGGAATGAGCTCCCATTGAATGGCACAAGAGATAACGCACTTCATTGAGAGTGAATGGGAGAAAATGTTTGCTGGAAAATTGTTTGCGTTATGTTTGGAAAATCGTTAAGCGAGCTTCATTAATAAATATCTTGTACGTGCGCAATCGTTTAATCGCGTTTTATTGCAATCGAATACGAATAAACAACGATGCATTCATATTTCTCTTGCTGAAATGTCGGTTTTTATTTAACTTTCTTTGCCAACTTTCGAATCAGCATCTGCAATCAGATCGAAAAGTGAGTTTGTGCATTGAATCGGTGGTGGTGATGGTGATGGTGGTATTGCTGCTGCTGCTGTTGAACCCAAAACAATTTCACCTTGATTGACCAAATATTGCGGAACATTGTATATCATTCCGGCAATTTGTGTTGTACGTACAGCACGTACGAAAGATTGCAGCACAACGATAAATATAAATACGCCTGAAGAGATTCGTATAAAGCGTATCCATTTCACGTGAATCGATTAAATATGCTAAAGATATTGGTTTTGCCATTCGATTTTGCGACCGGCAAACACTTGAGAATGATTCGAATGGCGGCCGGTTCAATTGCTATTGGTTTGTGTTCGATAGATGCCGGAGTATGAGTGATACAATCTCTCTCGCACGCACATGCACAAGCAAACTCAATGGAAATCTGGAAGCATAATCAGCTATAATTTCATCTTTTGCTCCTTCAACCAGATAATAACTTAATTATCGTTCTATAAGCAAATGAACAAAACATTGTGTAAAATTATCAATTATAGGTGTAATAAAGTGTCAGCAATTAAGGCAGAAGAGCGGACAACAGCAAAAACAACGAGAACACTAGCAACAGCAGAGGTAGGAGCAGAAGTAACAGCAACAACACAATGAAGAACAATAACAGACAAAAACTAATATAAAGCAATTGTTGGCCAACGAAAACTTCTATCCGTAAGATAAATTGCATTCATTTTATGCGTACGTCGTTTGCTTTGTGCAAGTGTCGTCGTCTTTGCTGATCACGATGAAAATGAGCGATTTTTCCGCGTGCAAACGCGCGCTTCTTCACCACCACGACCACCACGACCACCACGACCACCACGAACAACAGCAACAACAATAGCAGCGCCAACCGAATGAGAAAACTAAGCGACGGTTTTCTATTTTCTTTTTTAACGACCATTGTTTCGACTTCTTTGAGCAAAGCCACAAATAAACAGTCGAACTGACTATAACACCGTCGCGCTTCAGCCACACACACATATATATATAAAAGATCCGAGCCTTTTCAGCTCGACGCTTGTGGCGGAAAAGTTCACAGATGGTCGAAACGTTGTAATTCGATGTGTCGGTGGAGGCTCTTCATTATACATACCGCGCGAATGGTATATATTTTGCGCGCATTTTCAACTTTTCAAACTTTGTTTCGCCGACAAAACGAAGACGATACGATACGACGGCCGCCTCGACTCTTCCGTCCTATACACTGCTAATAATAATAATGATAACAATAATAATAAATAGCCCGAGTACATTTTTCATTATCTCCTCAGAAAAATTACTTTGAAAAGAAAAATTTTCTTCTGTGTATTTTCACGTCTCTTGATTCGTTTTTCTTTTTTTTCTTGTTCACTCTTCTCGTTCCTTCGTGTGATTCGGTTTCATTTTTTTTGTAACCGCGTTCACCACCACGATACGTCTTGGTTTTTATTCTGACGCAAATAGTTGTTGTTTAATTTTCTCGGTTCTTTAGATCCATTTGTTTGAACATCGTTTTCACCCGTGCTTTTTCTCGTTTTTTTTTCGCGTGCGACTTGGCCATCAGTATCAGTGTATTCACAACATTAACATAGTGACTGGCTTTTGTTTGGTCCCATGCTCGTTTTGGTCTCAAATCATCTGAAAAATCACATTCTAATTTTCGGGTTGTTTTTTATTGGGCCAGCACACCCATATATTTTCAAGCCATGACATTTCATTGTCGTTGCATCAAACAGGACCGGAATGATTAATTTTAAGCGGCTGAAGCAACAGTAGCATCTAGTCGCCAATGGTGGAATGGTGTCGTTCAGAGAGCACAGGAATAATCAACGATAGACACACGCGTAAAATACAGGGAAAAAAGAGGAAGAAGTACGTTGTACAAAAATGATCATAAAAACGGTCGTAATTCAATCAAAACCATTGCGTTGCCGGGATTTTCTTCGCCTTTTTTCTCGTCACTGGCCGCTCACGCGCGCGCTATTCGGTTAATTAGCCGGAACAAAGGTTTTCCTCAGTTTTTTTCCTTGCTGCTGTTGCTTTTTTTTATTCGATTCCGTTGTGTCTTTTTTTGCTTGTTCTTCAGTGTGGCCGTAAGTGGTTTTACGACAGCAATTCTTGAAAATGTAAAAAAAAACCATACTCTGTGTTGTTGTCAGAGAGATGCGTGTATATTCGTGTCGTGTGCCAAAGGATAAATTCTTTGATTGCTTCTCGGATGCGAGGGGGACGAATGGTAAAACAAGTCGGAAAATTAAAAAAAAGCGATGAAATTCGCTCTGGTTACAGATTGTTCGGGATTTGAATTGACACGATTGAATTAGGAACAACGACGAATCCGAAAAGGTAAAAGGTTAGACGATGAAGATTTCATTTGAATTTGCATTCATTCGAAGTAATAAAAAAAAGTAGGAGGAAATTGTTTTAAGAACAAAAGACCGTTTTAGCGATGAAGAAGCTGGTCTCATTGTGCAAAACATGATGGTTGTGATCTGTGAACATATGCGCTTAAGTAAAATACTGTCGGAACGATGGTAAAAATGTGGTGGAAATACGCTCAAAAATTTAGCCAATGTCAAAATAACCACCCGTTTTTCTTCTAACGAACCAACCAACAAATGCCGCTGAATTATGGCCCCATTGTTTTCTTTCTCAAGCAGAACCATTGCACACAAGCAGCTGCACACATTGTGGTTTTACGAAAAATCAATAAAAAAAAAGACATTATATGTCAATATTTACCTTAAATATTACGTTTACTGTTACGCTTTTAATGTTCATCGGCAGCATTTACTGCGCCAATGACTGCCAAACTAACTCCAACTCTTTCTCGGTTTTTTGTTAAATGTGCGCTAGCAAATCGGCTCACCGTCTGCAGCGCTAAAATAGCGTCAGCAAATTTATGAACCAAAAAAGATTTGTAAACTGATTACACAATAAACAAATATACAGCAAAAAAAAAAGTGCGCGCACCAGCAGGTAGATTCACAAAATAACCAATTTATTTGGCACGAAATATACTAACAAAACGTAAATTCGACCAATTTGAACACCAATTTTCATTGAGTTTTATAGGTTTGAGTTTCTGTCTAGCGAGCGTTTTTTATGCGTTTTTCACTTCGTTCATTAAATTGAAGAGTCTTTTGAGCTGAATAGCAGTTAAAATTAGCACAAATGGGGTAAAACGAATGCAATTAACGAAATTTAACGTAATTTAACGACAAATTAATTTCTTTTTCATTTAGCGAGAATTTCTTCCCTTCTATTTATTTTTCTTTCGTTTAGCTACTGATTAAAATACTTAACGCTTAATCGAAGAGTGCTTGAGTTGGAAGAATTACCGATTTATGGAGAATAATTTAACGAATAATATCACAAATCACTTAATTCAGTTGCCAAGTCGTTTCTTTGTTTTTTTTCTGTTTTGGTCTCCTTCTAAATATTCATTATTAGAATAGCGGAAGATTGAAAATCATTGGTTACACATCAAATTGTTGGCTACTTAAAAATTTGGCATGAAGAGTATCAGTTGAATTTAAATCGTCACAAAATTATTTATTGTCAATAAACTCGAAAGAATCTGTGTGCATTTCTGTATGTATATTTGTTTTTTTTTTTTCGCTTTTCCCGTCACTTAAAACTTATTATTTATTTATTTGACAACGCGAGATGTGTGTATGTGCACAAGAGTCTCTCACTTTAGAATCCGTATTTTTGCACGAAATTATTCATGGATTTGGCATTGCGCTGTTCCAATTGAGTTTTAATAGATCAATGCGAAAGATGTGTTTTCATGTCATTATTTATTGCGTTAAGCAAAGAGATGATGTTGAAAGGTGTACATAATTTCACACTTGCTTCGTTTACTTGTTCATCTCTCTCTGTTTCGCGTGCGCGCGTCGCAAAAGCTCTTAAGTTTTTGTTGTTGTAATCGCCGTCGGTGTCTCTTCAGCGAATCTACTTATCAATTTGCGTGTGTGGTTGCATGTATTGGGGCTTGGACGTGAGTTTTCGATGATTTTCAAACATAAAACGAGTCTCTCTCTAGCACACACGGTAAGAGCTCAGCAAACACTTAGCCCACGGTTTTTCTTGCTCTGCAGAGAAAATGACAGATGATAATCACAGCTTTATTGCCACCACCGTCTACGCTTTTTCAACGAAACGTTTCGCTATCTATGGAAGCACGATCAATGTCACTGTCACTGTCACTGGCGCTGATAATGTAATGCGAATGTAATGAAAACCAATATTCACGGCACATTCACTTTTCGCACTTCGATGTCGGATTCTTTTTTCCAGTCCAACACTGACGCACTGTTGCTGGGCCTGGTACGCGACACAAATAAAAAAAAAATATTTTGAAACCACAGGAACAGGCACTAATAACAACGACGACGATAAATGAAAAAAATGAGATTTTTTTTTTCTTTATTTCAGCTTTGAGTGAATAAAACAAAACAGAAAAAAAATCCGCGCATCGAAAATATCGCACTAATAATAAATGTGTCTATTTTGGCTCTTTACATGTTCTCGGCACCGTTTTCAATATATCGTCAGACTCAGCAGAAAATCCATGGAAGCACTGCGTAACCAGCATGAATATAAATACACGGCAAACGCGAAACAGAAAAATCGAAAATTTCATACAACACAAAACATTTAATGCACATATAACATATTATATCGACTGTATCAGCAGAAATAAAAAAAAATATATATATAGGAATCGCATGTACCGACGCTATTTGCTTGCGCACATTTAATACGATTAAGGAACAATAAACGATTACAGCATAAATAAATTTATTTAACAGAAGCGAAGCGAAGAGCACAAAACGAAGAAAAAAAATGTGTTATTCTCAATTCGAGAAAAATCACACCGAGCAAATGTTTATTTCGTTTGTTTTTTTTTCCGTTCACTCACTATCCCAGCAAAATTGTGCGCCAGCAAAACACAGTTCTATCCACGCACAAAACGAGCGAATGTGGAAATGCGAATGGATGTTGTTTTTTTTTTGTTCGTTTCACGTCTTTCACTCCCGCGGAAGATATATTACTTTCGATGCAGTTAAGCTAGAATCCATTTTTCATTGCACACGGATTTATTTCATGGTATTATTTTCACGGAGCGCACTCAATCAGTTTTATCAATGAATGTCACCGCAGAGTAAGAGCGGAGGAAAAAAAACAGTATCGCACCAATTGCACACCTTTTTTTCTACACACTGCGACTTAGTATGTGCCGCTTGTGTTGCGTCATGAAAACGAATTTAATTTTAAATTGGCGTATTTATTGTGAAATTATTATCATCTGATTGTGAAGTAATTTGTATATTAGGTTTTTTTTTTGTGTGTGTGTGTGTGTGCATGTGTTGTTGCTAGCGTCAACATAAATACGATTTTATTTGGAATTGTTATTTATTTGGGTTAGTGCGAAACCGAACGTTCATATTTTTCAACCATAAATTCGTTTTTGCACCATACATTCGCGATCTAAAGCGTTATTAGCGGAATTTGCAATCCTTCATTGTTACACGATTTGACACAGTTTTTGGTTCTTTCTGAAGAACAATTAGTAAAACGCACGTGTGTTTGATGGATAAATTACAGTTGAATGAATGCTGGTTTGAAATCACAATTCTAACCATTCAAAAATGAATTGACACACGTTTCGTGCGCTCGCCGAACGTAACAGCAGAAATTACACATACAAAAAACACACAGAGTCCACAACGATTTCAGAAATTGGATGCCTCGAAGTTTCTCGTCACGTTGCAATGACTGTGGTAGTTGATGATTAGCGCAGCTTGTGATTGACGTGAAGCAACACGATGTTTACGCAGAACAGCGCCAAGCCGAAACGATGCACACATTGCCATCAGAGAGAGAGAGAGACAGTTCACGGCTGCTAGACACGGAACCCAGCACCGAAATTGAGTGGCAAGTCTCGGTGTGGCGACGGTCCTGAATGCGAATGACACTGATGAACTGCTTGTACAATCTGCTGTCAAACTTTTCGGCCCAGTTTCCGATCACGAACTCTCGAAACTTTTATGACACTTCTATGTTGGAAACGATGACGATGCCGCAACCGAATGAAAAAAGAACCGAGAAGAAACAGATAAAAAAAGAGAACATTATAAAGATTGAATTTGCCCAATTCGGTATTTTAAGTTGAAAAGAAACAAAACAATACAATTTCTTGAATGAATTATTGATGAATTTGGTCAAAATCAGGAGAAGAATATAAGTCAAAACATTTGATTAGTTTGAAACGGAGCGAGCGCACAGCCCGAAACGCACACTGCCAATGAATATTTTATTTAAAATAGAAATTGAACAGAATACACTCACAAAGTGAGCGACTAATATGATTGCTCGACTTCGTTTCGAATTGAATGAAACGAAGCGAATAAACAAAAGAAGAAGAAGAAAAAGAGCAATATGTTCAAGAGTGAACAAAAATATATCAAGCATAAATTCACTTGCAACGTCATTCGTACTTAGCATTTACATACCAATTATATTCATTCTTATTGCATCAGCATTTTACATTGTATCAGCATTTTTTATTGTATCAGCAAATTTGTTCAATTAACCATTTTTCAATGAATCGAATTAATTAAAGTAAAACCGTGAGCAATACAAGACGTCTTTTATTTTAGTTCAACTTGTTAATGTAGAGCTTCTACACAATACGTTATCACGGTATTCCAGTCACTATGGAATACTTGAGCCAATGCGATAAGATAGACTGTTTTGGGTGAGAGATAATACAATGACTGGTAAAGCGTCTGTATTGATGGTTAGACCAGCAATTTTGCTTATCAATTGTGCTGTCTTGTTCGTGGGTCTGTTTACCGAACCACAATGCCACACAAAATAAAAAACAACGAACGACGACGACGACGCAAATAATTTAGTGAATGTTTAAACTAGAAAACACACGCACCGTTCATCTCTCACGCTCACAACGGCGTCGGCACAATGCAAAGTGACGTTCTGAAACGTAAACAACTTGGATGATATGGGGCATTTAGACGTCAAAACACATTAAAAATAATTAACTATTAATTTTTAGCGCTATAAAAACGGTAACGGTCGTTTCTTCTTCATTTTTTCAGAAAAAGTAGGCTATTGCTTTGGTTTGCGTGGAATAGTGCGAAATACGAAACGTTCGAGAGCGAAAGAGCTCTCTTGAAAAGTGGAAAAGCTGAAGTCGAAAAAAAATGGGAAACGGCACACATAGAAATATTCATGATGTTGAAAGAAACCTTTGAACATGTTCTCTGCATCACTGACGTCACCGTTATCATGCGACACACCACAATCGAGCAATATTCAAAGTCAGCGCTTTTTTTCCTCTCTTTTCTTTCATCGGGTGAGTCACTTTGATTTGCGTTGCGTTGAATTGATTCGTCAAAATGTATTTTCTTTGAAATGTTCAAAGGAAAACGATGTTGAAATTTTGATAAAATAAAAATTCGCCAAAAATACGAAAGTAATCTAAAGTTGCTCAATTTTTTCTCCATTTTATTCTTGAAGAAATTGCCGGTCCATGGGATTAAAATCTACCCAGTTTGCATGAGATGAAGAAAAAACAATTGAAAAAAATGTATTTCACCTGTTGATTTGGACATTCATGACTCAATTAATATTTGTTTATATGAATGTCCGAGAATGAAATGTTACACTTTGAAAAAATTCGATTTTGTTGTTTCATTTCAATAAATTTTTTATTTTTGTTTCACTTATATGTGTTGTGAATAGAAGTTGCATTTTCATTCTCGGACATTCATATAGTTTTATTCTTCTCTCGCTTCTGCTTCTTTTCCCTCTTTAGATGCTTTTCCCTCATGATGAACAAACAATATGCCATTTGAAGGACAATGTCGAATTCCGGCACAACGCTACAACGTAAACAGCTCATTCTTTCTTTTCTCTTGCTCTTGCATTCGCTCGCATAAGCGTGGACAAATACAACTGAACAAACAAACGCAACACGGCAAACAAGCGGTTTTTATGGCAAAATATACACACCGTCATATCATAATAAAAACAAACTTCTATGGTTGATAAACTTCCTCGAAATTGTAACGTACAAGCGGTTATAGTATTATGCCTCGTTTTTCACTGTGAATTCATTGATACAAACGTGAATTGCGTTGTGTGCATGCTTCTGTCGTCGCTCACTTTTTCTCCAATTTAATATTGAATTGAATTTAATTATCGTGCACGAAACAATTTTACCGGATCATTATGAATGAAATGAACTGCGATAATCGAATGCAAGTGAGTCAATGGATTTATTGATAATTTTTTAATAGATTCAGTGCAACCTTTTAGCCTTAAATTGGAAAAAGGCATGTAGCGACGGCGGCAGCGGTAGCATCATTTTCTACGAGTGAGAGAGAGAGAGGAAGTGAATGCTATAGCGAATCTCGCATTTAAATTGATCGAGAATTGCAGCGGCTGCATATTGTAGCGCGTTGTAGGTAAATATGAACTTTTAATGCAATTGTAAACCATGTCGTACATTATTTAGCAGATCCACGTGCACATGGGATGGATACGAGCGGACAGTTTCATGCACATTTAAAAGCCGTAACCATAAAGTTCTTAAATAGTCAAAATTTTCGGCTTAGTTTGGCAAGCCGAACTCGGTTTTAATCATTACAACCGAGTGAGTTTTCGAGCGCGTTGATGATTGGAATGCTTTTAGCGGCACAACCATGAAGCAGATTCCGTGATTGTCGAAAATTATTTGTTCCACTAAAAACATATGCTAAATGCAATTAATTTATACAAAATGCTAAATATATCGTTTAATGCATCGATTGCTTATTTATCAAACCGAATGAAATGTGCACGAAAATAACTGACACGAAACACAAAAGCTAGCGCCGTTATTGCCGTCGCCGTTGTCAGTGGGTACGAGATAGAAATGCAATCGCAAATAATAAATGCGATTTCACATCAACTGATTAAAAACAGTTTCCATGTATTTTCAATTACGCTTAAATTTCCATCGGCTACGACAACAATATATTTATGTGGCCACCACTAGCAAAATGCATCATTATATAGTATTTTTCCATTCGAGTCTATCTATGTTTGTGTGTATTGAGCTGTATTGTGCTGACCAATATCGAATGTGGATCGTTCAATTTGTTGATGAGTTCAAATGGTGCACGAAAAACCAAATAATTACTACTTTCGTTTCGATTCATCGTTCGTATCGTTTGTATTATAAAAACAAACACATTCATATACACAAATGCAGTGGGAAAATAAATAAATTTATTATCGATTCCGCCCTTTCCATTCAAATAGTTGGTATACAATTTGTTCCTGTCTCCAGTCGTCGTACTTTTCGCTCGGTTCACTTTGTCTAGTTTGTGTTTTGCAACTTTTCATCGAAAACGAAAGAAGAAGAAAAAACAGCAGAGCACAGAAACAATTCAATTTCGAATGGAAAAAATGGACAAGAAGAACCGAGCGATGTGAGAGAGATGGCGGCGACAACGCTGCAGCCAGGAGATTCACATGAGAAAATTATCAAGTTTGTGACTCGATGTGCAGTACAATTCCATTTCGCTTCGGAGTAAGCAACGGAATAACAGCAAGCAAAGCATCCAAATACTGGACATATTCTTGTATCCGACAATTTCTCACGTGAGATTGAAAAGACATGACGCAAAGAAAACGAGTCGAAGAAGCAGAAGAAGAGCTGCGAGCAGAAAAACGGATGTTGAATCCAATGGGAAATACATGGAATGAAAGCGTGCTTTCCATTCTTCGTGTGTGTGTTTGTGAGGGTATGCATCACTGTGTTGAAGAAGAGTAAAGTTTTATTCTATTCTTTCTTAACGGCATCGTCTTTAAAGGATTTTCGTTAGTTCTACATTTATAAGGCGTACTTTGGGTGGTTTTTTCTTCTTTTTTGTGATTCATTTCTCTCCGTGTGTGTTTGTACTCAGAATCGTTCAGTGGAAATGAAGCGAGACACATGAAGAGAAAGAGAAAAACAAGAAAAAAAAAATTGAAACGTTGATAAATTAGAAACCATCGCCGAATTTTTGATTAGCAAAACTCAATGGCTCACAAGCTCCATGTCGTGGCAAATTGATTCAAAAGAAAAATCTCAGGACGAATCTTGTGATGCTTCAGGCCATGAATGCGAACAGTCAACAAATGTCTGAGTGTGTGTGTGTGTGTGTGTGTGTGTGTGTGTGTCACACTGTGTGTTCGTTTGTACGTTTTGTTGGACTGTCCATTGTTTTAAGCGGAATAAAATAAATTTTTGCTTTTCGGAAAATGGAATTGCTTTGTTCGTTGTGCCTTTTGATTAACGAACGTTGGCGGAACACGATGTTGAACAAGAGCTGTTGAAGGGTGACGGTGATTGTGACTGTATGTGTATGTATGTCTACATGCTGTGCGCTGGCCAATCCATCTGCTCAGCAGTGTTAAAATTCAAGAGGTAGATCTACCGAAATCGAACTATAATTCCGAAAAACATTCCACTCGACTGAAGTTTTATTGTTTCTCATTCGCTAGATAATCTGCTGGAGATTTGTACTTTCTCATTCAGTTCTTCGACACGGATACACTCGTACAAACATCAACAACCTAACTCACCCATCCACCCACCAACCAAGTTTTACTTTGCTTTCCTTCAAAGCAAAAGAAATTAGTCTCTTGATTTCATTTGCAGTGCACTTCACCGGGCTACCGATAAACTCAATGGATGAAATTAGAGAATTAAATTTGCTGCGAAATGAAAATAGAGCAATTTCGGTGTATACCTTTGTTCTCGATGCCATTTCAATTAAATCAAATCTCAACATTTATTAGATTTTATATGGAAACTGGTTGCCTTGTGCAGCATTTTGTATGTATTGCTGGAAATTATTGCTAAATGTGATCGCTGCATGTCAAACAAAAATGTTCAAGTTGCGTGCTATGGTCACACAAAATGCTGTAGCTTTAGCAGGAGCAGTAGCCAAACTCAATGTTCGCTTCAATTATCATCATCGACTGGGAATAACAGACGCTGACC